AACTTTGTCCAACGATTTTGAGTTTTTTTAGCCTCTAATCTTCATAGGCTCTCTCCTTAATCTCTAACATGCGGCAGGACATTTGGGTGCGCAACTGCTTGGAGCGGTCGACAACGCCGCCGGGGACAACTCCGTACTAGCTGCTAACTGAGAAGAAGCCTAACCTCACGCAAGCGCGGATGTGGGGCTGCATGGTGTAATTCATGATCCCTGAGCAGCAGCGCGGTGGGAAGCTAGCGCCCAAGGCTCGCTGGAGCATTCGCCTGGGAGTATCGCCAGAAAGCAAGAGCTGGGAAGTGATTGATCTGATGGACAACAAGGTAGTCGCGTTAGTCGAAGTCATCTTCTACGAGACCCTGTCACTGGAGTTGTGGAAGGCGAAGTTTGGGCCGGCGTTGGGGTGGACGCAGGCACACCAGCCGACGGACACCTCGACGGTGACGTTCCCACTGCTTGCCAATGTCGACGAGCCTGCTGATGAGGACTTCGAGGATGTCCCGCCCCCTCCTCCTCCTCCTGTTCTTGTTACCCCACCCCTCCTCACGGACGTCCCTGTGTCGACTCGGTCGTCGGCCTGCGGCGATAAGGGGAGCAGTGAGGCGTCGCATGTGGCGCCGACCAATGGCATCGGTAGCAGCCGATGAGACGCCAAGCTCGTTGACGAGGGTGTGAAGCGGTCGTTGACAGGGGAGCATCAGACAGGGGATCTGGAGGGGAAGGAGGTAGCAACCTAAGAGTCGCTGACGGAGGAACATCAGACGGGGCGATAGACAGGGGAGCGGTCGACGGAGTCGGAAGCGAGCTGTCAAGAGGGGAGCAGCCGGTCGAGGGGCCAACACTGGTGAAGCAGCTCGTTGACGACATGTGTGTCGAGGACGAAGGGGAACTGTCGGCAGGAGAGGAGTCTACTGACAGCGACGTGGTGGAGGTTTCGGTTGAGAAGCCTAAGCTACGACGCTAAGGGCGAACTCGGAAGCCGCCGGAGCGGTTGAGTTTCCATGCTTGTCTGCTGCCAGTCGCCTTCCCTACGCTGCTTGATGACGTTGAGGTCGACGTCGACCTGCCGGAGCTCGACCCCGACGTGCATGCTGACCCCGAGCACCGCTGGGACATCGCCAACATGACGGTGAAGGAGGCGTTGGCATGCTGGAAGGGCGAGACTGTGAAGGCCGCCATGGATGAGGAGATTCGCATCCTCATCCAACGGCATGTGGGAGCTGTTCAAACGCCCGCGTGGTGTCAACATCATGAAGAACCGGTGGGTGCTGATGACCAAGTACTACATCGATGACATTGTCGCTCGGGAGAAAGCGAGGCTGGTCGTGAAGGGCTTCACGCAGGTGTATGGCGCCGACTACGACAAGACGTATGCGCCGTTTGGGAGCTACGTGACGCTGACAATCTTCCTCAGCATCGTCGCCATCCTCGACCTCAACCTGATGCAATTCGACATGAAGAATGCCTTTGTGCAGAGCAAGCTCAATAGGATGCTGTACATGTACCAGCCGGACTACTACAACGACGGGACCGGCACGGTGTGCAAGTTGCTGAAGAGCCTGTACGAGCAGAAGTAGTCACCGCTGTTGAGGTACAAGGCGCTCAGAAACGTGCTGACTGGTGCCGATTGAAAGAAGAGCCACTATTGGAAGAAGAGCCAGGTCGACGAGGCACTCTACTTTAAGGTTGGCGACGATGGAGTGACCTGCTGGGTGCTGGTCTACGTCGACGACTTGCTCGCCGCCAGCAGCAGCACCGCGATGTTGAAGGAGCTGAAGGAGCTGCTGGAGACCGCCTTTGAGTTGCGCGAGATCAAGCCGGTTGAGAAGTACCTCGGGCTGGAGATCGTGCGCGATAGGCCGGCGAGGAAGCTGTAGCTGCACCAGTAGAGCTACGTCGACAAGCTGCACGGACGTTTTATCGACACGAGCAGACCGGGCAAATCCCCAAGAAGCCAGTCTCCGTCGATGCCTATGTCGAGCTAACGTTCAACGACGAGGAGGCTCAGGAGCACGAGAAAGAGGAGTACCGGCACAAGGTCGGTAACTGAGACAAGTCCAAGTTGCGTGTGTCGAGAAGCACCTGATCTCCGACTGCTACTGAGTGATCTCGTCGCTGTCGATCGGCATACTGCTTCTGGAAGTTCTGCATCGTGGTGAAACATCATTGAGTCTTCTCCCATAGCTGCTGCATGGTGGTGACAAAGTCGTGTACCGCTTGGACGTGTGCCGGTGTGGTTGGCTGCTGTGGAGCAAGTGGTTCCCGTCCGTAACATTGGAAGAAAGGAGATTTCCCTGTGGCCGCATGTGAAGCGTTGTTGTAAGCGAACTCAAGCGTCGGTAACTGTAGATCCTAGTGGGTGAAGTTGTATTTGCAAGCTGTGCGCAGTAACTGTTCAACCACCTGATTGAGTCGCTCAGTCTATCGGTCATTCTGGGGGTGGTACGTTGAAGACATCACAAGCTTTGTCCCCAACAACCCCATGAGTTTCCTCTTGAACTTACTCGTGAATTCTGTGTCTTTGTCAGAGGTGAGTTTAGCAGGGATACCGTGGATGATGATGATGCGGTCGTAAAAGAGGCGAGCTGTTGCTTCAGCTGTAGCCATGGCGTTGGTCATGATGAAGTGTCCCATTTTGCAGAACTTATTGATCACCACGAGTATAGCGTCATGCCCTCGTAAGGTCGAAGGAATCCCAGTAATGAAGTCTAGGCTAACGACTTGCCATGGATTCTCCGGGACGGGTAGAGGCTAAAGTAACCCTGATTTTATCTGATTGCCACTCTTCATTCGCTGGCACGTCTGAACCCTAATAACATCTTGTTGCTTTCGAAATGTCCCGAGTAAGCCACGTCGCGAAATTCCTCGAGTAAGATTTGTCAGAGCAGGGCATAGTTCAATACCTAAATCCTTCCAGAACCCTTCCTTACCGCTAAGTCTTTCTCCCACTGTAACAGCTTCTATTTTTGTGCTGTAGAAATCTCTGCGTCCACAGAGTACCCATGTTGGAATAGACCCTTGAGCAGAGGGTTCATCCCATCGAGCTGGATGCCTGCTATGTGCCCTGGGCGGCTTTTTGTGTCTGCCTTGTCGTGAAGCTCTGGCTTGTACATGAAGTCGTAATGGAAGTGAGTTTCTAGGAAGTCCATCCACTGCACATGTCGTCGTGGGAGCGTAGAGTGCGATTTAAGGTACTTTAGACTGCAGTGGTCCATGTAGACTGTAGTCTTGGCTCCCTCTAGGTAACACCTCCACGCCTTGAAGGCTGTAACTATCGCTAAGGCTTCCTTGTCATGGATTGGGTAATTCAGTTCAGCTTTGTGTAGCATTTTACTAAGGTAGGCGATGGGCGACAAACCACGTCCGTGATCCTGCATCAGTACTGCTCCGACTGCTTGGTCACTAGCGTCTGCTTCCACCACGTAGTCTCTGTCTGGATCCGATAGGATGAGTACTGGTGCTATAGTCAGTGCTGTCTGTAGCTACTGCATGGCTTACTGTTGAGGAGTATCCCATTCATAAGGCGTATCCTTTTTCAGTAAGTTCGTCAGTGGCGCTGCTATCTTAGCGTACTGTGGCACAAACCTGTTGTAGTAGTTGGCGAAGCCTACAAACTGTTGCAATTCCTTTACATTCTCAGGAACTGGAGAATGATTTCCATGATCTCGTGCTCGTGGGTTCTCGCTGGAGGTACCCTGCAGGCAGGTCATCCGGCATGATGTCCTTGTAATCCGTTAACACCTCCTGTACTGCTGCAGGTAGCTCCGAGTTTGGCTTCTCCTCCTCTGCTGCTGCCATCGCCAGTGCTAGGTAACCCGCGTTACTCTCGTCCACTGTCCGTTTGAACCGTGCCAGTGTTGTCTCGTGTACGTCTCCTATATCCGTCCAGCTTCGCAGCTCCACACGTTTCCTGTTGTTGTAGATGCTCGCCTTCCGGTTGAAACAGTCAATCTTGGGGTTGAAGCGCTTTAGAAAATCTCGCCCCAAGATGAAATCTAGTCCCTTGATGTTCCTGACTGGCAACATCGGCTTCCATCTCAACGCACCTATGTGCGACTGCAAGGTTGACTCGTCGTGGATGGGAAGCTTCGTATCGTCCACCATCGTAGCTGTGAACCGGGTCTCCTCCAAGGTCTCTCCAATCATTTCCAATGTCTCGCAGTCACGCACCGAGTGGGACACACCACTGTCCACCAATACTTTGAGGCGTAGCCCTTTGCAGAGCACCTTGAGCAGTAGTGGTTGTTGTTGCTCTGAGAAGCCGTAGATGGTCTTGCTTATAGGATCATAGGGTACATCGAGTATATCATCCCTAGGTCCTACACCCGAAGCTGCTAACTCAATATCGCTTTTCAAGTGATTGGGGTTAGAAGGATTTACCCGAGGCCGATTCAGCTTCTCTTGAGCCTGGAACCTTCGCCTAAGCCTTTGTAGCAGTGTAGGCTTCACCTGTATGCAGCGGGGAGCCTTAGGGCATGTCCCACAAGTTCGTTTACAGTTAATGTCGAGATTGGTAACCCTATTTTCTGTTTGGAACCACAAGAATTCGACTACTGTAGCGCATGCATCTTCCTAGAAAACCACGAGAAGTAATATTCTTAGTTAAAGTACCTTTATCGGATAACTTTAACGCATTCTTGCTCTCAGGGGTGTTCGGCTGAAGTTTCCCGTCGGTGCAGAGTTTTTTTCGCGGAGCCGGTCGGAGATTTCCCCTGGTGCCGGTCGGTTGTGATATTTTATATTCGCGCCATCATATCCTCCTTTTTTCGCCCGCTCACCACGTCCTCGGACTTTTCCCTTTTCCGAAACTTTTCACAATCGCCAGGTCGATCCGTGAAAACGGGCTTTGATCACCAAGTGTGAGGATCGATAGGATCGAGTTCAGAAATGAGAAATGAATTGATTGATTCACCTGGGTACAACACGAGGCTATATATAGTATCAACACAAGGGCCAGTAACCAGGTGTTACGCAAAGGTTCTGAGGGTCACAAAGCATTACGAATGGAGCCTTCCCGAATTCGGTAGAAGGCAATTCGGTGGTAACCGAAAAGCTTGGAATTCAGTGCACGCAACCTGGTTCGGTGCTATAACTATAATAAAATATAGGAAAGCACTTAACCTAGGAAATCAAACAAAAGCATGCATGATAAAATAAAGTCAATGCAAGCAGGCAAAGCTCAGCAAAGCCTAGCAAAGCCATCGTACTCTCACACTACGGCCCTTTGTCAGGGCGAGCATCTTTGGCTGGCATGACACGTACGCAGTGAGCAAGGCAATGGGGGAGATGGCGCCGGCTGAGCAGCACAAGGGGGCGGAAGGGGAGGGGGGGGCCTGGGGGAGAAGTGCTGGTGCCGGTGGTGGTGGTGCGGCCGAGCATAGTGGAGAGTGTACTCTGAGCCCATGCCCGGATGGATAGAAGGCTTCCAGTGAGGATGCAAACTTCACATTGTGCGTCACTTCTCAATCTGTTTGCTTCCTTGCCTGAAATTTTCCCATATGTTTTTGTCACATTTGCATAAATGTGAAGGGAAAGAGGTGGAAAACGGGGGTTTGTAAATAATGTACATGTTGTACATAGCGAGCCAAGCACAGAGGCGGATGGAAGTCGAAGGGTCAAAGTGTTGGTTCATGAAGGTGAGGAGCGAGGAGGAGAGTCTGACGCTTGCCGAAGTGAAGGGTGGGGGAGCTGCATGGGGAACAGAAGGGGATGGCACTTATAAAACAATATATGGAATGCACCTAACCTAGGAAATCAATCATAAACATGCAAGATAGAATAACCCTAAGCTAGTAATAGCATAACAAAGTAAAGGCAAGCTAGCAGAGCCAGCATAAGCCGCTGTACTATCACACGTCCCCCCCTCAAAGCTGGGTGGCGTGAGATACACCCCGCTTGACAAGATAGGCCTTGAGAGCACGGCGTGCAATTCTCTTATCAGCTTCCGCAACCCAACTACCCTCATAGGGGTCGTATCCCTTCCAGCGTATCAGGAACTTGAGGGTCTTGCCTCCGCGACGCCGATGGGTGAGAACGCGTTCCACCTCGTACTCTGGTTCAACATGTACAAGAACAGGCGGTGGTGGCAGTAGCTGCCGTCCATTGAACTGTTGGTTGGGGTCCTTGTAGGGCTTCAGTAGCTGAACATGGAAAGCGTTGTGAAGCTTCCACGTAGTAGGTAAGCACAAGCGGAATGTAATAGGTGTCACCTGTGCCTCAACGAGAAAGGGACCATAGAAGCAAGGCCAGAGTTTGGATGGTAGGTGAGACAGGTTGAAGTTGCACGTGTCAAGGAGCACCAACTGCTACTAAGTGATCTCGTCGTTGGCGGTCGGCATACTGTGGTGATAAAGTCGTGTGCGGCTTGGATGTGTGCCGGTGTGGTTGGCTGCTGTGGTGTAAGTGGTTCCCGTCCGTAACATAGGAAAAAAGGAGTTTTCCCTGTGGCTGCATGTGAGCCGTTGTTGTAAGCGAACTCAAGTGTCGGTAACTGTAAGTCCTAGTGGCTGATGTCATATTTGCAAGCTGTGCGTAGTAACTGTTCAACCACCTGATTGAGTCGCTCCGTCTGTCCGTCAGTCTGGGGGTGGTATGCTGAATACATTGCAAGCTATGTCCCCAACAGTCCCATGAGCTCCTTCCAGAACTTACTCGTGAATTTGGGGTCTCTGTCTGAGATGAGTGTAGCGAGGATGCCGTGGATGGTGATGATGCGGTCGAAGAAGAGGTGGGCAATTGCTTCAGCTGTAGCCGTGGCGTTGGCTAGGGATGAAGTGACCCATTTTGGAGAACTTGTCGATCACCACGAGTATAGCGTCATGCCCTCGTGAGGTCGAAGGAAGTCCCGTGATGAAGTCTAGGCTGACGACTTGCCATGGCTGCTCCGGTACGGGTAGAGGCTGAAGTAACCTTGCTTTTTTTCTGTTTGCTACTCTTCATCCGCTGGCACGTGTCGCATGAGGTGACGAACTGCTACACGTCCGCTATCCCTGCTAACGTCTTGTTGCTCCCAAAATGTCCCGCGTATGGTACGTCGTGAAACTCCTCCAGTAGGATCTGCCGTAGCGGGGCATAGTTCGGTACCCAATTTTTTTATGAACCCTTCCTTACAGCTAAGTCTTTCTCCCACTGTAACAGCTTCTGTTTCTGTGCTGTAGCGATCTCTGCGTCCACGGAGTATCCATGCTGGAATAGACCCTTGAGCAGAGGGTTCATCCCGTCGAGCTGGATGCCTGCTACATGACCGGGGCGGTTCAATACGTTAGCTTTGTTGTGTAGCCCGGGTTTGTAGACGATGTTGTAGTGGAAGTGGGTCTCCAAGAAGTCCACCCACCGCACCTGTCGACGTGAAAGTTTCGGCTGTGACTTCATGTATTTAAGGCTACAGTGGTCAGTGTAAACTGTAGTCTTGGCTCCCTCTAGGTAACACCTCCACGCCTTGAAGGCTATGACTATCGCTAAGGCTTCCTTGTCATGAATGGGGTAGTTCAGTTCTGCTCTGTGTAGCTTCTTACTGAGATAGGCGATGGGCTGCAAACCGCGTCCGTGATCTTGCATCAGTACTGCTCTGAGTGCATGGTCACTACCATTTGCTTCCACCACGTAGTCCTTGTCTGGGTCCGGTAGGATGAGTACTGGCGCTGTAGTCAGTGTTGTCTGTAGCTGCTCCATGGCTTGCTGATGAGGAGTATCCCATTTGTAGGGCGTATCCTTTTTCAGTAGGTTGGTCAGTGGCGCTGCTATCTTAGCATACTGCGGCACGAACCTGTTGTAGTAGTTGGCAAAGCCTAGGAACTGCTGCAACTCCTTTCCATGTTTTAATAGCTTCGTTCTTTCGCGGGTCCACGTGTACGCCCTCCACACTCACCATGTGCCCACGGAACTGGACCTTCTTTAGTGCGAAGTCGCTCTTTGATAGCTTCACGTTGAATTTTTTTTCCCGCAGGGTCTCGAACACTCTCCACAGATGCTCCACGTGCTCCTTCATGTTCTTGGAGTAGATGAGTATGTCGTCCAGGTACACCACTACGCACTCGTCCAGCAGGGGCCGTAGGATATGGTTCATCTCTACCTAGAACGTCGCTGGTGCATTGCATATTCCGAACGGCATCACTTTTTATTCGTAGGAGTCGTATCTGGTACGGAATGCCGTCTTGTGGATCGAGTTGTCCGCCATCTTGATCTGCTAGTAATTCGACCGTAGGTCCAGCTTCGAGAATACCGTTTCACCACGCAGTTGATCGAGAAGATCGTCTATGCGCGGTATGGGGTATTTGTTCTTGACTGTCTATTTGTTCAGTGCGCGGTAGTCGATGCACATCCGTAGACTGCTGTTTGGCTTTGGGGTGAAGAGACCTGGTGCACCGTAAGGATAGGTGGATGGGCGGATCAGTTGTCTGTCCAGTAGATACTCTATCTGCTTCTTCATGTCTGTCAGTTCTGTTGGACTCAGTCGGTATGGTGCACGTGAGACGGGTTTTGCACTTGGTTCCTCCACGATCTCTTGCACGTGAGTGTGCGCTGGAGGTACTCCTGCAGGTAGGTCGTCTGGCATGATGTCTTTGTACTGCTTCAACACCTCCTTCACTGCTGCAGGTAGCTCCGAACTCGGCTTCTCCTCCTCTGCTGCTGTTGTAACCAGTGCTAGGTATCTCGCATTACTCTCGTTCACCGTCCGTTCGAACCGTAGCAGTGTCGTTTCAGGAACATCCCCTGTATCCGTCCAGCTTCTCAGCTCCACTCGTTTCCCGTTGTTGTAGATGCATGCCTTCCTGTTGGCCCAGTCAATCTCGGGGTTGAACCGCTTCAGGAAATCTCGCCCCAAGATGAAATCTGAATCCTTTATGTTCGTGATCGGCAACGTCGGCTTCCACCTCAACGCACCTATGTGCAGCTGCAGTGATGCTTCGCCGTGGATGGGAAGCTTCGTACCGTCCACCATCGTTGCTGAAAACCGGGTCTTCTCCACCTTCTCTCCAGTTTTCTCCACTGTTCCGCGGTCGCACACTGAGTGAGATGCACCGCTGTCCACCAGTGCCTGGAGGCGTCGTCCTTTGCAGAGAACCTCAAGCAGTAGTGGTTGTCGCCGCTCCGAGTAGCCGTAGATTGTATCGCTTATAGGTTCGTAGGGTACGTCGAATCTCTCATCACTATTTCCTGTGCTCGAAGTAGCTGACTCAATATCAATTTTCAACTGAACATGAAGGATTTATCCAAGGCCGATTCAGCTTCCCCTAAGCCTTTGCAGCTGTGTAGGCTTCACCTGTAGGCAACGGGGAGCCTTATTACGGTGCGGCGGGGAGAGGATATTAGCCCTACGGAACGCACGACCCTTTTCTACGCTCCGTAATACTTTGCCCAACTTCTCAGGTACCTGAATAATTTCTAAAGGCTTTTTCTTGGCCTCTTTTTCTCCCCTTGATTTTTCTTTGCTAAAGTATCTTTATAGGATAACTTTAACGAATTCTTACTTTCGTAGCTGTTCGGCTGGAGTTTCCCGGTCGGTGCAGAGTCTTTTTTCGCGGAGCCTCCATTCGCCTCGGCGATTTCCCCTGTTGCCGTCTGGTCGTGACGTTTTATATTCGCGCCATCATTTTCTCCTTTTTTCGCCCGTTCCGAAGTCACCACGTCGTCGCCCTTTTTTGCTTTTCGAATCTTTACACGATTGCCAGGTCGATTCGCGGCTACTGGTGAATTTTTTTTTTTTTTTTTTAACTTCGGGGGTGCTGTACTGTTGCCCCCCAGCAGTTACGCACGTGCTTTCTTCATTTTATAGCACGACATAATTTGATGTCCGGCTGCGTCACGAAATTCACATTTTGTCGGCCGCGCCTGCGCGTCGATTCTATCGATATTTATCGGTTCGGCGAACGTGGGGGGTGTCCATCGTTCTGTGCCAAATGATCGGTTTGGCACATGGCGTCGTATCGTTCGGCTGCTCGTACCATGTCGCGGTAGCTACTGTAGTTCGCGGCGATGACCTGTCGGCGAATCTTCATCTTCAACCCCTCGGTATACGCTTGGATGTTTTCGCCTTCGGTCAGGTCGGTCATGCAATTAAATAACTGCTCCATCTGCTGCGTGTACAGTGCTACACTCCCGAGTTGTTTAAACAATGGTTGGCTCCCGCCACTTACTCCTCCCCATCTGCTGCGTGCCCGAGATGTGCACAGTCGAAAGTAAAATGCGTGCAAACGGGCTCTGATTACCAAGTGTGAGGATCGAGGATCGAGCTCAGAAAAGTGGGTTTGAATTGAATGATCCACCTGGGTACAACACGAGGCTATATATAGTCTCGATCCAAGGAAGGTAACCCAGATGTAACGCGAATGTTCTGAGGGTCGCGAAGCGTCCCGAACAGAACCTTCCCGAACTCGGTAGAAAGCAATTCGGTAGGAACCGAAAGGCTTGAGTTCCGT